GCGGGGGCCCGCGCCGCCGCACCCGGGGGTGCTGCAAACCCCCCGAAGGGTCCCTTGCTGGCTGCTGCGCCGTAGGGTGCCTGCCCCGTGCACATCTGCAGCGGGGATGGGGCAGCATGAGCAGGGGTGGCCACGCCATGACCCGCCCCTGGAGCCCGCCCTGGTACCTGGGTGAGGTCCTGCAGCGCCTGGGCATCACGGGGCCCCGCGTCTAGGCCGTGCACCCCACTGTGTGAGAAGGCACGGGGTCGCGGGTGCTGCGCGCTGGCACCCCCTGCCGGCGCCATGGGCAGCGCAGCCCCAACTCCTGCCCCCGTTTTGGCATCCGGCAGCTCTGCCGAGGCTGTGGAGAGCAGAGCAGAGAATGAGCGGGCATGGGTGGGTAGGGCGCACCCCGGGGTGGGGAGGGCTCACCTGCAGCAGCTGCCGTCTCCGACATGCTGCGCTCCCGCGGCTCCTTGGGCCCCCCCCCAGGCCCTGGCCCTGGCCCCGGCGCCTTGGCCTCCGAGCTCGACTTCTTGCGATCCTTGTTGCACCACTTCCAGTCGGGGTGTGCCTTGAAGTGTGCCTCTTTGACCTGCATGGTCGCATGGTACCGGGGGTTGGGGTCAGGCCAGGGTGCCCCCCAGCCCTGCCCCCGCACCATGCCGTGCCACCCCCTGCCCCGCGGCACCTGGAAGGCGAGGTCATGGTATTTCTGCTTCTCCTTGGGGCCCAGCGCGTACCACCACTCGCCCAGGATCTTGCTGACGGTGCGGTTGTCCTGGTTGGGGTGCCGTTGGTGCACCAGCGCCCGGTGCCGCTTGCTGAAGATCATGAAGGCATTCATGGGCCGCCGGATGTGGTCTTTCTCCCGCTGCCGTGCAGAGGGGCAACATCAGTATGCACATGAGCTGTGCCCCACTCCTTCCCCTGTGGCTGGGGACCCTTGGGGGCCTCATGGAACGGGCTGTGCGGAGGGCACGGGGACCCCGGGGAACTCCTGGTACATGCCATGCAGAGATGATGGGGACCCCTCATGCTGTGCAGAGGATGGGGGTCCTTGTGGTGGGTGGGTGCACCTGCATGGGGTGTACCACTTGTGAGCAAAGTGGGGGGTGCACAGACCCCCTTGGAACATACCAGGTTGGGGTGAAAGGGAGGGGAGCGCTAATTCCTATGGAATGTACCACGTAGGGGAGAAAGGGGAATAGCCCATGGAATAGGGGTGGGCAAAATACAGCCCGCAGGCTGAATCTGGCCCGCCAGGCCATTCTATCCGGCCCTTAGGGCCCCTAAAAAATTTAGAAAATTAATATTTATCTGCCCCTGGCTGCCTGTCACGTGGCCCTTGATGGCTTGCCAAAACTCAGTAAGTGGCCCTCCGCCCAAAATAACTGCCCTCCCCTGCCATGGAATCTCCTAGTTCTAGAGGGGAACATGGAACATGTCATGTGGGGATGGGGTGGGGGGGAGGGGAGTACAGCATGCCCTCAAACTTTCTTAAGGACTTCCACTGGGGGAAACTGGGGGGG